CGTGGGAACAACACGTTGATTGCTTCGATAATGTCGTATTTTTGTGCCAACGAAGCGTCATATTCGTTCGATTGCAGAAGTGCTGATTTTGAGACAAAGATCGTCCAGACAGGTCAAAAAAGTTTGGAAGACCAAGAATTGAACTGAGTAAAAATGATTACCAATCTCAAAAAAAAAAAAAACCATTTTTCCATAATAAAGTTTTGTCTCAGTTCAGACTTTTCCCTTCCGTCTTAAAATTTGTTTTGATCGATGCCGAACGCTCTCCTTTTTACTTACCTTTTACTTTTAAACAAGATATCCCATTGAGCATTTATTTTGGCGCGGAAACCATAAGTTGTCACAATGGCCTAAACTTTAAATAAATTTATATTTTACAAATGTTTCAAAATATAAACTAAAAATAGAAAAGTCCAACTAAATATTTAACCTACTTTTAACTATAATAATTGTAATAGCGCACCGGTTGTGTGGGAACTACATTTTTTTAAGCTCAACACTATTCAAACAATATATCATTAATCATATTTATTTTTGAAAACCATCTAATGTTTTATAAATAATAAAGTTATTTTATAAAGAAATGTAGTTTTGTTTAAAAATAACGGACTTCAAACATTTACATAGTAAAAATACTAATGTTATTGTGAATATATAATCGATCCGACAATACTTTTCTTCGATACAAATTACACCTAACAAATATCTCGAAAACTTTATGTAAAGTAAATTTAGAGATGATAATATAACGATGACAAGTGGTTTCTGTTTTCTTGCTTTCGGTGTATGCGGAAACTTAGCTTTAATAGGAATAAAATGGGCGGAATAGGAGGCGTGGCATCTTCGAAACAAAAGAATTATAAAACATATCTAGAATAAAGGGTAATTTTAAAAAACTATGCAGTAGTTGTGTTTAATATAATAAGGAAATACTCGGTAGATAGACAATCCCTAGATTAGATAGAGAGATAGATAGATAGAATAGATAGGTGATGGATAAGATGATGATAGATAGATAGATAGATAGATGAGATAGAATAGATAGATAGATAGATAGATAGATAGATAGATAGATAGTACGATAGATAGATAGATAGATAGATAGATAGATAGATAGATAGATAGAAGATAGATGATAGAAGAAGATAGATAGATAGAAGATAGATAGATTAGATAGAAGATTAGATAGATAGATGGCTAGATAGATAGATAGATAGATAGATAAGATAGATAGATAGATAGATAGATAGGTAGATAGATAGATAGCTAGATAGATAGATTAGATAGATAGATTAGAGATAGATAGGATAGTAGAAGATAGAAGATAGATAGATAGATCGATAGATAGATAGATCGATATATAGATAGATAAGATAGATAGATAGATATATAGATTGATAGATAGATAGATAGATAGATAGATAGATAGATAGATAGATAGATAGATAGATAGATAGATAGATAGATAGATAGTAGATAGATAGATAGATAGATAGATAGATAGATAGATAGATAGATAGATAGATATATAGATAGATAGATATATAGATAGATAGATAGATAGATAGATAGATAGATAGATAGATAGATAGATAGATAGATAGATAGATAGATAGATAGATAGATAGATAGATAGATAGATAGATAGATAGATAGATAGATAGATAGATAGATAGATAGATAGATAGATAGATAGATAGATAGATAGATAGATAGATAGATAGATAGATAGATAGATAGATAGATAGATAGATAGATAGATAGATAGATAGATAGATAGATAGATAGATAGATAGATAGATAGATAGATAGATAGATAGATAGATAGATAGATAGATAGATAGATAGATAGATAGATAGATAGATAGATAGATAGATAGATAGATAGATAGATAGTAGATAGATAGATAGATATAAGGATAGATAATGATAGATAGATAGCTAGATAGATAAGATCGATAGATAGATAGATAGATAGATAGATTAGATAGCTAGATAGATAGATAGATAGCTAGATAAGTAAGATAGATAGATAGATTCACGATAAGTTAGGTGTTAGGTAGTAGTCTTACTAGATTGCATCCAAGAATTACACCTAGACATCCATTGGGTCTGTTGTGCGCTCCTTATAAATGTAACAGGTAGGAATCAAAACCACGACCATATACCTACTAGAACACAAAACTACTAACCTACGGAAGCCAACCTATCGTCATTAGATCCTAGAAGGTTTTTCTAAAATACCAGGATCCATTGGACTTCTCTTCCAAAATAACTAGGAAACTATTTAAATGAATCAATATACAAAATATCGTTGTCAAATTATAAAGCTTTCAATATTACACCTTAAGTAATATTAATTTCTTAACTTGAACCCGAACAAGTTAAGTAAGCAGAATCTTAGAACAGTTCAAAATAAGCCTATGAATATATCACTAAGAAATTGACTGAAAATTTTTCCAAGTGTTCACAATAGTTTCTCTGATGAATCTATAACATTACACATTTAACTTCACCAGTTCCACTGTAACAAAGACATCTATGACATGAACACAAAAACCTCATGCAAAACGAAAATCTGTTTTTTTATTGTAGCCAAGATTATCAAGCTCATCATTATTCAAAAAAGGAGCAGCAGGCACAAACGAAAAGGGCAAGACAAAATGCAATATCTAATTATAGTATAAAACTTTGTTTTTGGAAAGAATTTTTTCTCTTTATTTTTTTTTGTCTCGTTTTACATTTTATTTTCCCCTAAAGTGCATTAGTTTATTTCGCATAAACAGAAATAAAATAAAACAACAACAACACACGCTGTAACATAACATTTCGTTAAGTAATTTTCGAACTGGAATAGTGGATAAATAAAAAAGCAACAAATTTGTGCCATAAATCTGTTTATTTTGTCTTTTATGTACTTTGTGTTTTTATACAAATATCTGGACAAGTGTTGCCGTCAGTTGCTGCAGTGTGTATTAGATATAGTTTCTTATTTAATCTTTCGGTTAACTTTTTGTGTGGGTCTTTTTTTTGCTTTAATTATATTATTTGTTTGTTTGTAACATTTTATCTAATGAGTTTTTCTTGGGAAATGTTGCTTAGACAGAAAACTCGGGCAAATAAATGTTGTCTACTTAGTGTCTCTAGGGTCTGTGCCTTGAACATATGTTTAACTTCCGACTATGCATAGTGAATTATGTGAATATGAATGTTCTTTGTGGTAGTTGCATGATTATTATCTTTTAGCAAAAAAAAAGAGAAGAAAATTAAAACTTGAACAAATTTTTTTTATCACGAAATTTAATCTTAAGTATTTGTAACGTTTAAATAAATTTTTGTAATTAATGTGTTGTTAGTGTTGTTATATTTGTAGTAAGCATTTTATAAGAGTGTAGGTTTGTTTTTTGTTATTTTAACTGTTATCTTTGGTGTTGATAACTATAAGTGGGTAAATGCTTTTCTCATGCAATCTACTATAGTTTTATATGGTCATGTATATTTAAATATTTAAGTGCAATATTTAAACCTGAAAATTTTCAACAATTTTGCATCTCATAATAGGCTTGATAGTTAAAAAACACAATTAAAAGAAACCTGTTTGAAATTAGTCATTTCTGTGGGAAATTATAACTTTAGTAGATATTTAAAGACACTAGGTCAAAATATTAAACGATTTTTGTCCATCTATAGGTATATATAAAAATGAAAGTGTGTTTGTATGTATGTATGTTTGTTTGTTTGTGCTTTATAGACTGCTAAACGGCTGGACCGATTTTCCTGAAATTTTCACAGTTTCTTCCTGTATGTCTGGAAGGAACTATATTCTACTTTTTATGTTGAAATTTCATGTGGGCGACGTGCCACGCCCATATTAAGAAAATATTAAATTAGTATATCTGAGATAATATAATAGTTAGAGTCTTCAAATTTTGTCGGAGCAACTTTAGTATCAATATAATTATTTAAGACAAAAAGTGGGCGGATTAGCATAAGGGGGCGTGGCACCTCCCATATAAATTAAATACAAAAATTAGTTTATCTTGGAAACTATTATAGTTAGAATATTAAAAATTTGCACGAGTAACTTTAACATCCATGTAAACATTTTGGGAAATAAATTGGCGGACTACCCATGAGGGGAGCAGCACCTCCCATATTAATAAAATACAAAAATTGGTTTATCTGGGAAACTAATAGAACTAAATTCTTCAAATTTTGCACTAAGAACTTAAATATTCATCGGAACATATTGGAGAAAAAAGAGCGGACTTTCGTCATGGAAATAGGAAAATTATTATATCTGATAAACTATTAGAGCTAGAATCTTCAAATTTTAATTGAAGAACTTTGATATTCATGTGAACATTCAGAGAATAACGGGCGGACTTTCAATGGGGGGCTTGGCACCTCACATATGAATTAAATACAAAATTTCGCTTATCTGGGAAACTAATAGAACAAGATTCTTCAAATATTGCAAGAGGAACTTTATTATACATATGAACATTTTGGAGAAAAAAAGGGCGGACTTTCATCTGGGGGCTGTGAGTTCCCATATGAATTAAATAGAAAAATTCGTATATCTGAGAAACTATTAGAGCTAGAATCTTCAAATTCTACATGAAGATCTTTGACATTAATGTGAACATTTAGAGAATAACGGGCGAACTTTCAATGGGGTCTTGGCAACCCCTATATGAATTAAATACAAAATTTCGTATATCTGGGAAAATATTAGATTTTTTTTAATTTGTCATCGATTACATTAAAATCTTAATTAACGTTCGGAAAAAATGCATCTTTGGAAAACATTACAGTTAGAATCTTCAAAATTATTAAGAAGATTTTTTATTTATATTGCTTTTAGGGTAGCAAAGTACACTGGGTATAGCTAGTTTTTCTATAAAAAGACATTTTAATCGAAAATTTTTCATTGAAAATGTTCTTTTAAAAGAAATGTTTGTCAAAAATTTTATTAATTCTCTTTCTCATCTTTACAGATGTGATGAATTGCAAATACAACTGAGTAAACTAACAAATACAAATAAAGAAGCCAACCAGAAAATCGCCAAATATGAAGCCGAATTGGCTGAACTAAAGAAAACCAACGAAAAGTTGGAAATGGAAAATCGTGAAGCGGTTAATTTAGAATTTGAATTTCAACGTCATAAGAATAAATCAAAACTCAGAGAAAACGAACTGCTAGAGGCCCTAAACGATAAAGAGAAGGAAATTAGCAAATTAGAGAAATCTCTTAATACAATCACAGCAGAACGTTTACAAAACTCTAAAGAAGAATTATTGCAAAAATCTCAAATTGAAGTTGATGCGGCCAATGTAGATGGTAAAGTTTGTGTTAAATGTGAAGATTTACAAAGACTGCTGGAAGATAATAAAAAAGTTACTTTGGAATTTGAGAAATTAACTTTGGAATATGAAAAACTGAAATTAAATTATGTGGAAATTGAAAAAGAAAACGATAACAACAAATTAAGAATTATACAATTAGAAGAATTGCAGCAGAAGGAAAAGGCTGAATGTGAAAAGCTATTAAAGGACGTGCAACATTTGCGTGAGAAATTGCAAAACGTGCAACGAGATTATGAACAATTGAGTAGTGAAAATTCTTCAAAACATGAGGAATGTATGGCCCTAAATAGACAGGTGGAAGTGGCTAGAGAAGAAATGGTGGTGCTAGAGGAAAAATTCACCAAACTCGAATTGTCTTGGCAAGAACAACAACAAACTATTAATGATATAGAGAAGCAATATGCCAGCATACAAACAAAATATGAAGAATTACAAAATCAATACGAACAGCTAGAAAACACTAAAGGACAATCGCTAGCCGACTGTCAACGTTTGGAGCAAGATAATGTGGAACTACAAAACGAGATAGAGGAATTGAAAAAGAAAGTACAAGATGCCCAGCAAAGATTACTGGAGAGCAATGAGAAATATGAAGAGACGGCTAAAGAGAATAAGACTGCCAATGAAGAGTACACAGCTGAAACCTCTAAAATACAGCAAGAAAATGAACAGCTTCGAAACCAATTACAGGAAATACAAACACAATTTGAAGATTTACAAAAAGAATACGATGATTTATCCAATCAATTAATGGATAATTTACAAGATAGTGAATCTCTTAAGAATGAAAACACCAAGTTGCTTGAAAAACTCCAAGAATATGAGGAGAAGAACGAAGATGTTTGCAGGGCAGAAGCTGAAATCCAAGAATTAAAATCGCAATTGGAAAAGGTGTTAACCAGCGAAAAGAAAAATCTACTCAAAACTCCCTCACCAGGACGCAGTTCCTCAATGCGCAGTTCCGGTGTGTGTGTAGAAGAGGAAGAAGATTTCGAAGAATATCCCCAATCCCAAGATTTACTCAGGAAATTCTGTGAACTTTCTGAATCACTGACTGAAATCGAACTCGAACACACAAAGGGTAAAACGAAAGTCTTTAGATCCGCCTCTAAAAACTCCACACCCAACAGCTATAAAATGTATTTGAAAAATATTTTGGGTGTGCGTAAATCACAAAAAGAATTCGATATGGAAATCGAAAATATACACTTACAAGGTTCCTTTAAACATCATTCCTTCCATATTGTGGAATTGAGTGGCGAAGCAGCGAATGATGATGATGCTGATAAGTCCTGTGAAATGGAATGTGATACTAGCGTTACAAATGGTTGTGAAAATATGGCCGAATATATAGAAAAACTCAAAGAAGAAATCGTACAGCTGAAGGCCATCAACGAACAGGAACGTTTAAGCAATAAATCTCTATTGGAAAGTACCGAAAGAGCTTCAGTGAAATGCGAGAGCAGATAACACAACTATCCGCCGAATTGTTGGAGAAATCTATATTTGTGGAGAATTGTGCCTGCAAAACGTATCAACAGCAGATAGAGACACTGGAGAAAGAAAAGGCTGATATCACCATTATCTGCGAAGAGCTGCAGGAAAAAGTCAACTGTACTCTAAATGGTTCCTTTAATATGCTTATGAATACCACCGCTCCTGGTGTTGAGGTAAAAGCTTTAACCGATGATAAACTCAAAGAGTTGGAGCAATTAAAGCAAAGAGAGCAAGAACTGTTGGAATCTTTTGATTCACAAACTAAAACTCTGGAAGAGCTAACACAGCGTTATCTAGATATGGAGGCTGATTTGGAAACGGCACGAGAACAGTTAGAAACTCAAGAAAAGGAATTTAAGGAAAAACACAATCAATTGCAGTTGGAAATTTTGCAAAAGATGGAACTAAGTGCCAGCGAGTACAGAGACAATATGAAAAAGTACAACAAAGAATGGGAGGATAGAAGAGAGGAATATGAAGAAACCATTAAAAGTTTACAGCAACAAATAGAAGAGCTGAGACAGCAAACAGTGGCAACTTCAGAGGAATTGAAACAAGAAATTAAACAGGAATGTGTAGTGGACAAGGAAAATAATGAACCAGTTAAAGAAAATCTCGAAATTAAATGTGATAAAGCCGTAGATAGCGAAGAACCTCTGGCAGAGGCAGTACAAGAAGACGAAGAAATGCCCGAAGATATAGAAACTATAAAACAAGATAGAACAAGACTGGAGGAAGAAAAACAAAATCTTCAGCAGCAACTCAATACTGTAGAAATGCAACTGGAGAATCTAAAAGAAGAAAATCGTACTCAATACGAAGAAATTACACTTTTAGATTCAAAAATCGAATCCTTGGAAGAACTTCTAAACGATGCTAAACATTTGCATGAAACTGTGGCCAGAGAAAATGCCTCCTTAGAAACTCAAATAAAAGATCTTGAAGAAGATCTCAATTGTATACCTCAGCTGCATGACAAAAATCAACAGTTAAACGATAAAATGGAAGAACTCAATGGAGAATATACACAACTTCAAGACAAACTCCAAAAGGCCGAATTGCAAATACAAGAATTCTGCAAAGAAGATGCCAAACGTGAAGAACTAATACAAACATTACAAAGTAAGCTCAATCATTTGGCAGCTTTGGAGGAAGAAAAATTGAGTCTGACTAAAGAGTTGGAAAATCTGAAACAGGAGTATTCCCAAATACAAGCAAAACTCTTTAAGGCTGAAGAACAAATACAAGAATTCTGTAGCGAGGATACAAATCGAGAAGAGTTAATACAGTCCCTACAAATTAAACTCGCAAACATGACATCCGTGGAGGAGGAAAAGAAGTCTCTTGAACATGATTGCTCTCAGTTAAAAGAAACCTTGAGGCAATTGCAGGAAAAAGAAGCTGAAACATTTAAAGAAATTGAAACTCTCAAAGAACGAGAAGCTGCAATCAATGAAAACATGTCTGAATTGGTTAAATCCCAATCTGAACTGCAAATCGAAAAGTGTGCCTTGGAGGAGAAATTGCAGCAGGTTACAAGTGACTATAATTTACTTAAAACTGATCAAGTGCTGCTAGAAACCCAGCTAAGTGAACTAACAGAAGAAAGAAAATCTCTAAACGAACAATGTTTGCTGCTACAAGAGGAGAAAACCACCCTAGAGGAACAATTAAAATGTCTCAAAGAAAAAGAAAAGGCTGAAGAGTTATTAGAACAAATGATTAAAGAAAAAGCTGAACTTATACAGAATCTACGATTAACCACCGAAAAGTTGGAAATTGTCCAAAATCAGCTGGAAGAAAAAGTAATAGAAAATACTCAAATACAACAAGATCTTCAGTCCCTCAAAGATACTCTTTCAAAGAGCATCGAAGAAAAACAACAGCAATTGGAAGAAACTGAAAAAGATTTAGAGAAATCCAAACAAGATAATGTAAATCTTCATCAAGATCTGCAAACTCTTAAGCAAAGTCTCTGCAAACTCAACGAAGAGAAACAACAGCAACAGCTGGAAATGGAGAAACATAAACAAGAGAGTGTGCAGCTTAAAGAAGATTTAGTAAGACTTAAAGATCAGCTCACAAAACTACAACAAGAAAAGCAAGAACAACAGCTAAATTTGGAAAAAGCCCAACATCAACACAACAATCTACAACAAGAACTAGGGACATTCAAACTTGCTCTAACAAAGGCCATGGAAGAAAAGCAACAAGAGTTTAATAATTTACAAAATAACTATCAAACCTCACAACAACAAAACCAACAATTGCAACAAAATCTTCAAGATTTACAAGTTGCTTTAAGTAATTCCAAAGAAGAGCAACAACAACAAATGCAAGAAAACAACCAGCTACAAAATGAGCTTCAGAGCACTAAACAATCCTTAGATAAACTTCAGGAAGAGCAACAAAAACTACAAGAAAAACTGCTAAATTATCAAAAGCTAAACGAAGATAAAAACAAATTAGAAGCTACACTTAACATATTAAAATCAGCTCAATCTGGTGCTCTCAATAGTCTACAAGAAGAAAGAGATCAGCTACAGCTTACTCTCCAGCAATACGAACAACAAAATAAACTATACAAAGAAAAAGAAGAAACTCTTCATGAAAAAATCGAAACTCTACAGCAACAATTACACGAAGTACGCAGCAAAGCCCAGTCATACGAAAAACTTCTACAGGAACATGAAGAAGTAGAGACGGCTCTCACCTCTACAACTGCCACAAATCAAAAACTTCAACAGGAAATACAACAACTCACCTCGCAACAAGAAACTTATGTCTCAACGATCGAGAATCTATCGGGCGAAATTGAAAAACTCAATTTACAACTTGATAAACATCTCAACGAAAAAGCAATGTTGCAAACGAAATTATCGCACTTGAATCAAACACTTCAAGGTGAACAATCTTCGCTGCAACGTAACAATCAGGAGCTTAAGAGTTCTTTGGATGAGCTTAAATTTAAGTATGAGTCCCTGCAAAGCACAAATACTCAATTGGAACAACTCAATCAACAACTGGCAGATCAACTTAAGGGTTTGCAGGAAAAACTGATCCGGTTCAATGGTGTGCAAGAAGAACTCAACTTGCTTAAAGTTCAGCATAGTGAATTACAGCTTAAGATGAAGGAAACCGTAGAGGAAGCTGGTCGTTGTAGTTTGACTTTACGTGATGAGGTTGAACATCATAAGCAGATGTTGCAGAAACAAGCAGAAAGCTTTAATCTTCTTAAAGTTGAAATGGTGAGTTTTTTCTAGTTATATTTAAGTTCAGTTCTAGATCTATTATAGTTCTGTTCCAGTTATATTCTAGTTATATTCTAGTTCGGTTCTAGTTCAATTCTAGTTTAGTTCAGTCTTGGTTCAGTTCTAGTTTACTTCTAGTTAGTTCTAGTCAGTTCTAGTTCAGTTCTAGTTCAGTTCTAGTTCAGTTCTAGTTCAGTTCTAGTTCAGTTCTAGTTCAGTTCTAGTTCAGTTCTAGTTCAGTTCTAGTTCAGGTTCTAGTTCAGTTCTAGTTCAGTTCTAGTTTCAGTTCTAGTTCAGTTCTAGTTCAGTTCTAGTTCAGTTCTAGTTAAGTTCTAGTTCAGTTCTAGTTCAGTTCTATTCAGTTCTAGTTCAGTTCTAGTTCGTTCTAGTTCAGTTCTAGTTCAGTTCTAGTTCAGTTTGCTAGTTCAGTTCTAGTTCAGTTTCTAGTTCAGTTCTAGTCAGTTCTAGTTCAGTTCTAGTTCAGTTCTAGTTCAGTTCTAGTTCAGTTCTAGTTCAGTTCTAGTTCAGTTCTAGTTCAGTTCTAGTTCAGTTCTAGTTTCGAGTTCTAGTTCAGTTCTAGTTCAGTTCTAGTTCAGTTCTAGGTCAGTTCTAGTTCAGTTCTAGTTCAGTTCTAGTTCAGTTCTAGTTCAGTTCTAGTTCAGTTCTAGTTCAGTTCTAGTTCAGTTCTAGTTCAGTTCTAGTTCAGTTCTAGTTCAGTTCTAGTTCAGTTCTAGTTCAGTTCTAGTTCTAGTTCGTTATAGTTCAGTTCTAGTCAGTTCTAGTTCAGTTCTAGTTCAGTTCTAGTTCAGTTCTAGTTCAGTCTAGTTCAGTTCTAGTTCAGTTCTAGTTCAGTTCTAGTTCAGTTCTAGTTCAGTTAGTCTAGTTCTAGTCAGTTCTAGTTCAGTTCTAGTTCAGTTCTAGTTCAGTTCTATTCAGTTTCTAGTCAGTTCTAGTTCAGTTCTAGTTAAGTTCTAGTTCAGTTCTAGTTCAGTTCTAGTTCAGTTTAGTTCAGTTCTAGTTCAGTTCTAGTTCAGTTCTAGTTCAGTTCTAGTTCAGTTCTAGTTCAGTTCTAGTTCAGTCTAGTTCAGTTCTAGTTCAGTTCTAGTTCAGTTCTAGTTCAGTTCTAGTCAGTTCTAGTTCAGTTCTAGTTCAGTTCTAGTTCAGTTCTAGTCAGTTCTAGTTCAGTTCTAGTTCAGTTCTAGTTCAGTTCTAGTTCAGTTCTAGTTCAGTTCTAGTTCAGTTCTAGTTCAGTTCTAGTCAGTTCTAGTTCAGCAGTTCTAATTCAGTTCTAGTTCAGTTCTAGTTCAGTTCTAGTTCAGTTCAAGTTCAGTTCTAGTTCAGTTCTAGTTCAGTTCTAGTTCAGTTCTAGTTCAGTTCTAGTTCAGTTCTAGTTCAGTTCTAGTTCAGTTCTAGTTCAGTTCTAGTTCAGTTCTAGTTCAGTTCTAGTTCAGTTCTAGTTCAGTTCTAGTTCAGTTCTAGTTCAGTTCTAGTTCAGTTCAGTTCAGTTCTAGTTCAGTTCTAGTTCATTTCTAGTTCAGTTCTAGTTCAGTTCTAGTTCAGTTCTAGTTCAGTTCTAGTTCAGTTCAGTTCTAGTTCAGTTCTAGTTCAGTTCAAGTTCAGTTCTAGTTCAGTCTTGGTTCAGTTCTAGTTCAGTTTAATCAATTTCAATTTAATTCTTTATCTCCCATTAACTTCTTAACCTTTCTCTTTCATTCCTGCAGGAAACTCAGCAACAAACTTTAACCAATCAAAATCTTAAACTTTCCAACAACATTGAAACGTTGCAAAGTGAAAAACTTGCATTGGAAGAGAAACTTAGAGAAATAACTGTACGAAATTTCGAACAAGATTTGCAACGTCAAGCAATTGATGCAACAGCAAATACATCAATGGATTCGAATACATCATACTCGCCCAAGGGACGTAGAAGTCTAGAACGTATGGGCGGTGTTATGGGCAGTGACTTTAAGGCCAACGTAAGCATAGAGGAAAAGCTAAGTGCCATGCAGCAAAAGAATTCAACAACAGCAGAGAGAAAAAATCGTCGTATAAGTACACATGACGAGCGAAGAAGACAATCATATTGGGGAGCAGCGCATGATAAAGAAACAATGACGGAACCAGTAGGTAGGTTGAACATCGTTATTGGGAAGTGAGAGTATAAATACAAATTAACTTGTTTCACAATTTTCCAGATACCAGCTGTAATTGCATTGAGCTCGATCGCAAACTTAAAGAGTGCGAACGTAATCTTTTCATTAAAAACAGTCAAGTTACAGCTTTAAGTATGGAATTGAAAAATCATCCCTTGAAAGATGAAAATGCCGCTTTAATGAAACGTTTCCAAGAGGAACAAGATAAGCATCGCATCGAAATTAAACGTTATAAAAATAAACTATACGAACAAACCGCCAAAGCTGAAAAAGCTATAGCAGCAGCTGCACATGCCACAGCCAAGTCACAACATGTGGCAGCAAATGCTGCTTTGGCGGCCGAACAACAAACCAGCACCCCGGTCTTACCGAAAGTAGTAGCCGATGTTGAAATACAAACGGATGATGATTTAAGTAATTCTATACAAAAGTTACAGGGCAAATATAATGATTTGAAAAATATCTGCCGTTATCGTTACAATGTCATCAAAGAGCTGGAGGAAAAGGTGGCACAAAAAGAAAATTCCGATGGTAATTCTTTGTCGGCGCTAGATGCTGCCCAATATAAGGTTTTAAATGTAAGTTAATCAGTTAATAAAGAAAATTATAAACAACTTATAAATTCAACTCTTAAATTACAGAATCAATGCGAGTCTTTGAAAAAAGAACTTAAAACTGTTAAGGAAAAATATGAAAATGCTAAAAAAGTATTACATTCACGTCGTGAAGAAATCATGAAATTGCGTGCTCAATTGGAACAATCACAATAAATAGGCAGTTAGTTTGCTCTCTCTCACTCTTTATTTGCCATTATCTAGTACTTAATTTAAAAAAATATTTTCATCTGTGTATGAAAGAAAGTTTTTCACATTTCATTTAAGAAATGTTGAACATTGCTTATGTTTTTTTTTTTAATATTACATATTATATTTAATTTAATTATTTATTTAGTTTAGTGTATGTTTTTTTTAATTATGTAGTTTTTAGTTTCTTTAAAACTAAGTTTTTGTGCTTTTTTTTCTTATATAAACAAAAACAAAAAAATAATTGAAAATAATTCTTAATTTATTGTGGTTCTATGTTGATCCTTATATTATTACATATTTTGCACTTACTTGAAAATAGGCACACTTGTTTGTTTTGTGTTACGTTTTTTTTTTCATTATTAATTGTATTATATTTAGAAATTGCATTTATATTAACCGTTAATCTATCGTCTCCATCCGCGCTTCTATTCTTTCTCTTATTCATCTCTAGAATTGAATTCATTTGTATTGATTTTCTCTCCTTTGTTTCAACTGTTTTTGAATGTAATTTATGCTGTTAGAATAACTGTTATTTTAAAAAATAAAAAATAAAATTTAATATTTAATTTATCTATTTTATAATATTAAAATAAAAGAAAACGTTTATTTATAAAAACAAACATCTGAATTTTCATTACTCTCAAGAGGCCTACGACTGAAGACATCTTAAAAGACATTTTTGCATATCCAAAATACCTATAAAATAAAATAGTTTTTTGCACCAAATTATTACTTACCATTACTTATTCATTATTATAATACGAAGCCAACCAGCCGAATCAACACCTAAGCGAGGGAAATGCTCTCTATTTGGTTGGACCAAAAGGGTAGTATCTATTATGAATTGCTAAAATCTGGGCTGTACATCACTGAATGTACCGAATGTTAGTCTATAGTCTAGTCTATAATCTAGTCTATAGTCTAGTCTATAATCTAGTCTATAATCTAGTCCATAGTCTAGTCTATAGTCTAGTCTATAATCTAGTCTATAGTCAAGTCTATAATCTAGTCTATAGTCGAGTCTATAGCCTAAACTATTCAATAGTCTAGTCTATAGTATTGTCTATAGTCTAGTCTATAGTATTGTCTATAGTCTAGTCTATAGTCCAGTCTATAGTCTAGTCTATAGTCTAGTCCATAGTCTAGTCTATAATCTAGTCTATAGTCTAGTCTATAGTCTAGTTTATAGTTTAGCTTATAGTATAGTTTATAGTCTAGTCTAGCCTAGCCTAGCCTAGTCTTGTCTTGTCTAGTACATAGTCTAGTCTATAGTCTAGTCTATAGTTTAGTCTATAGTCAAGTCTATAGTCAATGTATTGTCACATCACAAGGAAAACTCGACTCCTAAAGTTTAAAACACCCCGTTTTTTGGACCATTTCTGATACATTTTAACAGCGCGGAGACATCCTTATTTCCTCTGAGAGTCTAATCTGTTGACTTTAAAGGTTTAACCTCAGTTATATCTGTTCCCTTTTTCGTGATACAAATCCTAACCTAAAGCACTAGACAACCATAATTTTTCCTATAAAAAGGTTTTTAATAGACTTACTTTCATGCAGAATCTAACATTTTTGTATTTCTTTAGCAATTACAACTTTTTTTGCAAAACAATAACAACAACTAAGTCTTTTCACTAATACATTCACTTATTTACATATCCCACTAAAATCTCTTCATTGCAGTTTCATCGTCTTTTTACTCTTCTCACATTCCAAAACTCATTCTCTTCATTTAGTTTAGTTTCTTATTGGATTTCTTACGGTGCGCGTCGAGATTAGTGGAAAATAAAATAAAATTTCTTTAAGCATAAAAAAAATCAGTGAAATAATTATTGTTTTTAGCTAAAAATTATTTAATTCTATTAAGAAAAGTGTTATAATTATAAATATGTAAAGTTTTAGTTAATTGTTAAAGTTTAATTATTGTTTTGAAAGCAATTAAATGCAATTTTCCAAATTTTTGCATTCATTTTTTATTTACGCGTCGTTCGTTGCAAATTATACGTGTTGTTGTTGTTGTTGTCGGTAAAAAAAGCAATAGCATTGTTTTGTTTTTGTTATTTTAAGTATACCAACGAAAGTGCGGGTTAAAATAAAAGTTGGCAATTTGTGAAAATAGTGTAAAGAGGCAATTTATATAATAGAAGAAAAAGCTTTAAAGCTTTTCAATTTATTAAAAAAAACAAAGAAGGAAGCTTTTTTTGCCGGTTTTCAAGGTAAGTGTATAAAAAGTTCTTACATACATATGAATGGGTTTGTTAACTAACTAAACATGTTTATTATTGTTTCCGTTGTTTTTATAAGAACTCACATACGGCTCGTAAATAAACTAACGCCGTCAAGGGTATGAGTTGTAGCGGCGGCACAAAATAACAAAAATCGTTAATGAATTCATATGTTGTTTTACTAAGAAAATAATATGATCTGTTAGAAATTGTTGAAAATCGTTTATTATAAGAAAATCACAAATTATCTAAAATCATTAACATGTTTTTAAATAAACTTTTAAATGAGAAATTTTTTGTTACGCACATTCTGTTGGATAATTTAAATTATTTTACTTTTATATATTTTTTTTGAGAATACAAATGTATCTAACAATAATTCTTCAAATGATCAAATAGGAGCGATAAGTTATATTTCTATGAAAAACTAGACTCTTTAGTTAGTAATTTAGTAAAGCCTAACTGACATAAGAAGGTGAGACTCCGTAGTTTGAGGTGAACTCCGTAGTTTGACTTCTGTAGGTTAAAAGTTAGTGTTCAAGACTATCAGACCGGATTTCACGGGTTCAATTCCCTGCAGAGGCACAAGTAATTTACTAGTAATAAATGCAATGGACCGATGGAAACTAGGTGTATTTCTTCGGAATTGAACTATCTATCTAACTATTTATCTTCATATCTATCTATATCTATCTATCTATCTATCTATCTATCTATCTATCTATCTATCTATCTATCTATCTATCTATCTATCTATCTATCTATCTATCTATCTATCTATATCTATCTATCTATCTATCTATCTATCTATCTATCTATCTATCTATCTATCTATCTATCTATCTATCTATCTATCTATCTATCTATCTATCTATCTATCTATCTATCTATCTATCTATCTATCTATCTATCTATCTATCTATCTATCTATCTATCTATCTATCTATCTATCTATCTATCTATTTTCGACTGAGCCCAAATTCCGATTAGGCGCTTCTTAACCAGAAAGAACTTATAGTGATAATAACGTGAGGATCAGTAATCACTAAAATTTTTCAACAAAAGTATGCGCTAGAATTTCAACAAACCTCTTGCGTCAGCAATTCTCCATCCACTCTGAGATTCGTGTCCTGACATTTGAATAAAGGCCATTTTGGGCCACTTTTGAGACATTATAACTGCTCCAAGACAACTTTATTTAACTAAAGATATCTCGAATAAGAATGAAGAGATGTCAGTGGACTTACAGATGACATACAACATTATACAAAAAAAGTTATCTTGGCGCTGTTATAAGGTATCAAAATTTCCTTTAGAAAAGTATAACTTGGTCTCAGAGTTTCAACTTTTTTTCAAATTTTGTTGGCCTGTGATTATCAAACCTTCTTTTTAACTTCTGTCCTTAGTCATTAAGAAAAAATTTTTGCAAATTATAAAGTAAAAAAACAATTATTTTTTTTTTATAAAATATTTCAACTAAAATTTATTTAAAAATTATTCCAAGTGTTGCAGTTGTTTTTTTTTAATTAAGATTTTATACAAAAATTATAAAATTAACTTAAAATTATAATATTAATATAGAAAATCAATACATTTTTTGAAATTATATAAAAAAAAAAAACTTACAAAGAAATATCGCAAAGTTTTAAATTGAGGTAGAACTTATATATTAAACAGTAAATTAATATTAATTTAAAATTTAACTCTTAAAGAGTTAATTATAAAGAAAGCTTATAGGAGTTACTAAAATGATAAAAATAATAATAATAGAAATTAAATAAAAAAATTATTTATTTAATAAGTAAAGCTTAAAGAAAATTAAATAATAATTAATTTTTTAAATTGTGTCATTTGTGTTGAAAAAAGTCTTAAATTAAAAAAAAATAAAAAATTAAATGCTGAGTATATTTGAGGTAATAATTAATTGCCAAGTTAAAGAGAAATAATTTAAATGCTTTAATTTTTTTTGTTTAAGTTATTAAATGCATATTTTTATTTATTTTTATTTTTTTTATTATTATTATGACAATTTTTTATAAGTTTTGTTTTGCTTTTTAAACATATTTATTAAGTACTACTGGATTAATTTTTAGATTTAGGGTTTTAAGCAACAGCTGGTGTTTTAATTTTAGTTTTGAGTGTAGTTTGTGGATTTTAAGTGCTTTTAGTGGGGGTGTATGTAAGGGGGTGAGGGGGTTGTATTTAAATACTTATTAATTAATTTAGTTTTATATAAATTGGCAAGATTTATGTTTTAATTTTATTTTTAATAATAATGTATTTTTTTTTATTAATTAAATTTAATTTTTTATATAATAAATTATTGCATTTTGTGGGGTTAGTAGTAAGTAGAGTTTTTTTTTATTATTTTTAAATTTAATTAATATAAATATTTACAGGGTTTTTATGTTATTTTTTTAGGTTTTTTTTTTATATTTTAAGTTTTTTGAGGTAAACAAATTTATGTGTTTTCACTGACTTGAGTTGTTGTTTGTTAAAAAAAAAATTATAAAAAATTGAGGTAGTTTTAAGGTTTTTTTGTAATATAAAATGTATTTTGTTTAATTATTTAAAAAGGAATGTCTTTTTTTTAGTTTTTTATTTGTTCCTGAGTTTATGTTTTTTAATAAAAATATTATTTTTTTTTATTTTATAAGGAAGTCAGTTGTGTTAGGAAGTTGCTGAGGTGTTTGTTGTTTTTAAGGTTTCAATCCCAGTTTCTATTAAATGGCACATTTGAATTACTGTTATATTTTTTTTTTTAAATTCTTGAGTTAGTTTTTAAATAAGTGATGTTGTTGTTGTTATTATTAAAAAAGCCAGTGTTTTTTTTATATAATAAGTTAAATAAAATATAAAATTATTTTTTCTTTTTTCTTGAAAAAACCTATAAAAACTTAGTAAACAAATTTTTTAAAATAAAATTATTAAAGCAGAGTTACAAAATTTCAATTCACTGTGGTTTAATTCAACTCAAAAAGGCACTTGAAATTAAATTTTATTTTTTAATAAAAAAAAATTATACTAAAAGCAACTAATTTCAACTAATTCCTTTAAAAAGTAATAACTTCAAATTTCATTTAGTAAAGAAAAGCATGTTAAAACTTAAAAAACAAGTTTTTTTTCTAAAAAAAAACACTCTGCTACTTTTAGTTTAAAATTTAAACATTTAATATAAATATTTACAAAATTTCTAATATTACTACTAATAATAAAAATAAAAAAAATAAAAAAGAAATTATAAAATAAACTCTACTACTAAAAAAGTTTAAATCTAAAAATTGCTTTAAATTGGTTTTGCGTGGGGTAACTTTAATATAAAACAGCTAACGGCAAAGAGTTCTTTTAACCAGCTTTCAGCTCTCTTCTTCAAAACTTT